ATCCAGTCTATGGAAGTCCATTGATGGTAAACCTCTCTTGAGAGGCCAGCTCTGTCACAGATCTGCTGTGCAGGGACTGTGTACACAGGAACTGCCTCTGCAGCTCCAGAGAAGGGTTCAGAGGAATAACCTTCAGTCAGAAATGTCACTGCAGGGTTGGTTTTAATGTTTTAATGCACAGAGGGTGTGGAAATTCATTTACAATTTCTCTGGGTCAAATCAGACAGGTCGATAATGAATTAGAAGTGGTATGAACAATGAAAATTTTGTGGACAACATTATCACAAGTGAAAAAAAGAAAATTTAAAAAACTAAAATCAACAATATCATCAACAACTAGAAAACATACAAAAGACAGGCTGGGTCTGTCATCTGTTACAAGTGAACTATAGGAGGAGATGGGCAGTACATTGCTTCTGAAAAACATCTGTTCATTAGTGTCCGAACTGCATCCTTGAGCTCCTGGTTCCTCATGCTATAGATGAACGTGTTCACTGCTGGAGGCACAACGGAGTATAGTACTGCCACCACCAGATCCAGGAATGGGGAGGAAATGGAGCTGGGCTTCAGGTAGGAAAACATGCCAGTGCTGATAAACAAGGACACCACAATCAGGTGAGGGAGGCACGTGGAAAAGGCTTTGTGCCGTCCCTGCTGAGAGGGGATCCTCAGCACAGCCCTGAAGATCTGCACATAGGATACCACAATGAAAACAAAACACACAAAGAATAAACAGGCACTAACCAAAATAAGCCCAGCCTCCCTGAGGTAGGCATCTGAGCAGGAGAGCTTGAGGATCTGGGGAACATCACAGAAGAACTGGTCCACAGCATTGCCATGGCAGAGTGGCATTGAAAATGTATTGCCCGTGTGCAGTGCAGCATAGAGGAACCCACTGCCCCAGGCAGCTGCTGCCATGTGGACACAAGCTCTGCTGCCCAGCAGGGTCCCGTAGTGCAGGGGTTGGCAGATGGCAACGTAGCGGTCATAGGCCATGACAGTGAGGAGAGAATACTGTGCTGAGATCATGAGGATAAAAGAAAAGAGCTGGGCAGTGCATCCTGTGTAGGAGATTCCCTTGGTGACCCAGAATGAGTTGGCCATGGCTTTGGGCACCATGATGGAGACGGAGCCCAGGTCAAGGATGGAGAGGTTGAGGAGGAAGAAGTACATGGGGGTGTGGAGGTGGTGGTGGCAGGCGATGGCAGTGATGATGAGGCCATTGCCCAGGAGAGCAGCCAGGTAGATGCCCAGGAAGAGCCAGAAGTGCAAGAGCTGCAGCTCCCGTGTGTCTGCGAATGCCAGGAGGAGGAAGTGGGTCATTGAGCTGCAGTTGGTCATATCCTTGTTCTTGACATGCGGACATTGTCCTAAGGAGGAAAACACAGGGGAGAATTACAACAGACTTCTCTGAGTAAAGCCACTCCATTTTTCATAGACATCCTGCCCCCTCCCCCAATTCCAAGGCCTTTCCTTTCTTTGCTTTGTGCTGGCTGAGTGTGCTCTGAGGAGCAGGACCTCTGCCCCTGTGCTGCCAAGGACTCAGCTCTGCCCTGCTGCAGTGAGTACGTGGGAGCTGGTTCTTGACACCCACAAAGGTCACAAGGGATGTCAGATGCAATTCACCCTTCATGGGAATGTTCAATATCTGCACTCATCATTCCAGAGATTGTGGGCTGCAGAAGAGAGGCTGAGCATGTCTTTATGATGATTTTCTCTGTTGTTTTTTTTCTTTCCACCATCACATCTGGTGAGTATTATTTTTACAGGAAGAAATCCCATTTTTTATGACTGAAAGTGTGTAGTCTTAGGACAAGACAGGCAAAAGGGCTCAACTCTCTGTGTCTCAGGAGAGCTGCATTGCCCACCAGTCTTGGTCCCAGATGCCATGTGCTTTTGCTTCTTCTACATCGAGGATGACTGTGCACACAAATTACTCTTTAAAAATAAAGCAGCTAGATTCTGATGAGAGCGGTGGAGCCCTATTTCAAAGGACAGATCTGCAAACTCTTCTTTTTGCAGCACAGAGGTGGAGTTGTGATGGAGAGGGGAGGACACGGACCCTCTGAGAGAGAAGCAAAGGAATCTGAGAGGAGACTGGCAACCCATGAGGGATGGCTCAGCACTCCCTGGGATGCTACAGCACAGCTGTGCTCTTCTGGGCGGCAGCACGCAAGACCAATGAGATGCACTAAGCAGAAAATCAGGTCTCCTGAAGATGGGACGTCTTAAATGGAGAGTCAGCTCATTGCCCAGCAGACCTCTAGAGTGAGGGACCAAAAGAGAGCAGGCTGAAGGCAGCCTAGCCCAGGGCTTGTCTGCAGTTTCCTCCCACTCCCTGCCCATGTCTCTGCTGCCTGGAGCTGTCCCTGCCAGGAGCTGTTGCTCTGTCCACACCTCTCCTCCCTGTCCCTGCTCACAGATCCCATGCCACCCTCTGTGTGCTCAGTTCTGCCCTGCAGACCCCTCCTGGCAGCAGGGCACTGCCCAGGGGCACCTCTGTGTTGGCAGGTCTTAAGGAGAAGAGCAGATCAATCCTGAAGAGACCACAAAGGTGATGTGGATGCTTTCCACATCACAGGCAGAGGAAAGGGCGAAGTCACTTTATCAGGTGCCTTGAAAAAACTGTTCATCCTTCACTGTAATGCTGTAGGAGTCTCAGTCTCATGCACAAACCTGGCAGCTCCGTTACCGTTTCCACATACCATCAGAGCAGGGAATTGAAAGCACCAACCCTGAGAAGCACCTTTACTGCCAGGTAGCCCCTGCCTTGATGTTCTTAT